CTATATAATACATGCACAATATGTCCTATATAATACATGCACAATATGTCCTATATAATACATGTACAGTTGAATGCATACAAAATTTCCATACAAGATTTCTCAAGATAAATATAGAATGGATAAAAATAAGCTGTTCTTTATCCTAGGTAGATCAGTCTATATCATGTTACCATGTTTGCTTATTAGGCTTTTAATAAACAGTGCCAGTTACTCAACTCCCCAAAGATGGCTGGAATATCAAGTGAAGAGAAAATCAAAACAGAAATTTAACTGCTGGGCTGCTTGATCATACTTAGCTTCAACCACAAAAAAGCATGTTGCACAAATGCATGAAGGTTTACAAAGTTTGATTATATACAGTTTTATTTTGATTAAAAGCTTAACAGTGTGCAATTGACAGTCTGTTTTCATCTTCTACCTTTAACTGCACATCAGTATGAAGGTTTTCCCTATTACATAATTGCTATGCCCAAAACAGTTCCTCTACTAAATTTCTGTACGGCAGGCTGCTCTTAAAGACACAGAAGCAGGGAATGTAAAAATGCAGACTTTGACATTTAAGTGTTACTCTCATAATTCAAACTGGAAGGGAGAATTTAGGATTTGCCTCAAAAAAAGTTAATCATCTTTACACATACTCTATTCTCCTCTATTCAACTTCCCAAGTTTACTTCTTTAGTTCAGCAGAAGTCTAGGTAAGCAGCCCTGTTCCAACATTCACCATTCACGCCTAAAGTACAAGAGTAAAAGGAGGTATATGTCAATTCAAGTAACTTTGTCAACTTTATGAATAAAAAATCTGAGTAGGTCAGGCAAGGGCAGGTGAGGATGAACATTAGCAAACTTTGTCCCTTTCAACTTTGAAAGACAAGGAGCAGCTAATGAAAAAAAAAAGCATTTTAAGATCATCGCCTCATCTTTTTCCATCTGCTTCTTGAATAGTTGCACTATAGTTGCACTATACCTGGAGTGTCAAACTCACATCAGCATGGCAATGTCATGTGACATGTCAGGACTTTTTATCCCCTTTGCTAAACCAGGGGCGGGCTTGGCCAGCACGTAACACAAAACGTGCAGGCCTTGAGTTTGACAGCCCTGCACCATACTGGTATTTGAAAATCCTTTCAAAATCCAATCCATTAATACTATATAGCTTTCCAGATTATGGTTCCCAAGTCGGAAATGAGCTGTAGGGTTTGGGAGTATCATTTTCTTTCTGAGGTTTCTCGTTCACAGTAAGTCTCACCTATTTTTATGGTTTCATGTTACATATATAGTCAAGTCAAATTCTGGAGAAAGTCAATAGTATTCCCTCGACCATTCACAACCTACAATTATAAGTTCTGGCTTGAGGGCAACCCAAGTTAGCTCTAATTGTCATTAGTCCCAATGTAGACTTGATGTAAGCAACAGATACAGGCGAATAAGGAGGAATATTTTAGTTCCTCAAAATAATGAGAAGGAGGTGATACAAGAAATGATGAAATTGTTATACTTCACAACAACCTTCTCTGAATAGTAGCTTTCAGTTGCTTTGGGTTTAGCATTCCCATCCATATCAGTTCCATCTCACAGGCCTTATAATTAGTTGTTTCATCTCACATTTTAGCAACATCTCAAGCAGGATGAGAATGCTTCACAGTATTAATAGAATAGAATAAGGCCCATTGATTTAAAGGGATTTACTCGAAGTATGACTGAGTACAAAATCCCATCTACTTTCTTCAGTATTTCTTACCACAGCTCCAAATGGTGAGACAGGATTCCTATTTATGAGAGAGGGAAGAATAACGTTGAAAGAGAAAAGCATTTATGGCACTCAGGGTGTATGTAAGATTTCAACTAGAAACAAACATGAATTACAACATGTGGTTTCTCATGATCCATCATTAACAATTGTTAACAAAAGTCTTACAAAATACTTCCAAGATTTCTATTGAGTCAGTTCTGGTATCTGATGTTTATGCTTGGAAAAATTAAAGGAAACTTTAAGAAAGACTGACAAGATAGTTTGAAACTAATACCAATGACATAATAGGAGTTAATTCAAAGAAGCAATTACTGACAGACAATTCTGGCAAAATGATAGCAGTGGGGTCATGTAGAGTTGGAAGCAATTAACAACAAAATTAACTACTGATTTGTTCTGTGTTATTATCATCATATAATTTTATTTTTGAAAGATACCTTGAAAGTTGTTGTGATTAATCTGATTTGTAGTCACAGCTACAGTAAAATAGTATCTTGGTTCACAAGTACTCCCTCCACTCCATGTTATAGAAATTTCCATAAAGTATCTTTGCACTACCATATTTTTCTATTGCCTATATTTCATTCACAGAAAATTCCATCCTAATCATTTGCATTACTTCCTCACAAAACACCATCTTAAATAAAGATCACCCATCCCATTCACTCAGAAGTTAGTTTTCTGAAATGTTTGATGAAAAGATTGCCTCTGTTAGAATTCATCTGCAATCCACTTTGTTCCCACTTTTGATCCCCAAAGTATTTTTACATGTTAAACCATCTTTAGACATTTCTAATCTGCATCAATCTAATCAATGTCACATTTCTTAAATTCTACCTTGCAGCAAGTAATGACTTTATGTGCCTTTAAGTCAAACTTTAATCCTCTGCTTATTATTTTTTCCTATGAATATGCAATATTTATTACATGCAGCTGATGTTATCTAAATTTTGTAAACAGTCAAGAAACAGTATCTTGCCTTGAAATACGCAATAGAAATCTATTAATAAATATGAATAAAATTCACTTCTGTGCTTTCCTAAGACTTCTCTACTTTGATCATTTCAAAACAAAATAAATTTAAAATACTGTCTTCTCCTCCAACACTACCACCACCACCTTGTAAAGGGGTAGAAACTTGGGCCACCATACTTCATAGCTGACTGTCCCTAACTATATTTTTATGGGGGGGTTCCCCAATCTCAAAATGTTTTTGTTATTTTTTCACTACCAGTCCAAAACTAAGCTGGTTTCTTTTTTTAACTTAGAAGAAGTCCGTTATCGGAGCAGAGAAGCGGGTTAAATAATAGGGGGGGGGGAGAGAAAGTGGAGTTGACACCTTCGAGAGAACAAAGGCGGCTACAGACAACAAAGGCCGCCAGGTAAAGCAACCAGCCAATAAAATGCAGGCGCGAGGAAATCGCCCAGCAAAGCGAAGGAGGGGCTGTCAGGAAGGGAGGGAAAGGGACTCAGCCTTAAAAAGGCGGGTCGCTCCTTGGACCCGATCCAGGGCATCCCAGGTCGCAGCCGGGCGGAGGAAGGGAAGGGAAGGGAACTTTCCCGGAGAAAAAGACACGCCGCGGGTGGACTCGGTTTCTTCCTCCCCTTCTCAACTCGAGCAAATGGCCCGTTTCTTTTTCAACCTAATCCTTCCCGCCCAGACATGTTTGGCTCCGCTCTCGGGAGAGTTTACAGAGGCTCTTTTGGTACGCTGGGCGCGCGCTCGCACTCTCTCTCTCTCTCTCTCTCTCTCTCTCTCACACACACACACACACACACACACACACACACGGGGTGGGTGGGTGGGAAAGACTGGATTCTTTCTCTCCACTTCCTCATTCAGGGATGCTTCAACAAACTAACTACGAATAACTCGACCAGCAACAATAATAAAACCAGCAACGTCAACAACAAAATCCCCCTTTATTTTAACGCTCAAGCGGTTCTTTTCTCCTTGCTCCAGAAACTTGGCGGGCGCGCAGGACCTCCCCCGTTTCCCCAACTGCAAGCCCATCTACGCGGGAAGAGCATTCCGCAGCTGCAACGCTGCTCCCCCGCCTAAGAAGCCCCCAACCCCCCGACGCTGCGGGCTGGCGTAGCTACGAATGGGCATCCCCGCGCGGGGCGGCGGCAGCTCTCTTTGATTGTCCCTGGAGAAAAACACGAAGAGAAAGACTCACTTTTCGGCGCGCTCTGTTATCCTAGATCTGAGGGGGGCAGCCGCTCCAGATGGGCTCTGGAAGGGGGGGGAGGTGGATGATGGGCTGGAAGGGGAGGGAGCGACGAAAGACGGAGAGGGGAAAGGTCTCTGGGCGGCCCCGCTTGGATCCGTCTCTCTCCTCACAGGTTGGGGCTTTGCTCTTCGACGCCCTCGCCGTTCCCTCGGGAGCGCAAACTCCGCCCCAAACCCGCCGGGCCCGGTCTGATTTCTCTGGCTCCGGCCGTTACCGTGACCGTTTCGAGTGTCGGAAACGGAGATTGCGGCTCCCCGCCTCGCCCTCTTTCTACTTGGCCGATGGCCCGCCAGGCCGCCCCCGGGAGAGGAGGAATAAGGAGGAGGTTCTGTTTGGCTCTCGTGAGTTCGTTTCCACCGCCCCCTTTGGCCAGGCAAACAAACAAACAGCACGTGGCTGGGAAAGGGAAGGTTGGCCAGGCAAAGGGCACCTGCTGTGGCCGGAGGAGAGGCGGCCCGTCGACTGCTCGGTTGTCGGGCAAAGGGAAACTGAGTTATTGCTATTATGTAGTCGAGTTAAGCTCGGATCGGGAAGGAAGATGGCGCGAGCGCTGAACTTTCCTCAAGACAGGCGTTGCGTGACGGGACTAGCCGGGGTAAAGTTTAAACCGGGTCTTTCTGCTTCTCATCAAGTGGCAAACCCCGTAGGAGTAAATTTTTACAAACCAGAAAGTGTGATCGTGACAGGTGTAGAAATTAACTCTGGGTCGACCTACATCCTCAATTCACTTCGGTGAATCCGTTCTCTTAGGGTGCATACAGTCGAATAAGGTCTGTGGAGATGCTCAGTCATCCAGGTCATGGTTGTCCCAAAGGTGCTTTTTCAAGAGGTGACTGGACTTTCTGTTTTTTTTTTCTTTTAAGATGTTTCACTTCTCATCCAAGAAGCTTCAGCTCTTCTTCAGAGGCTTCTTGGATGAGAAGCGAAACGTCTTCAAAAAAAAAAAAAAAAAAAGCCCAGAAAGTACAGTTGCCTCTTGAGAAAGTACCTTTGGGACAGTCAGATAAGGAAATTGAATATAAAATCACATGGATCTGCAAATCCCTATCTTTTTTTTCTTGGAATCAATTCCGAAGCATCATCCAAGCTTTGCTAAGTGCTTTAAAAGCTGAGCAAATTAACTCAGGTAAATTAACTCAAGTAAACTTGAGACAAATGAAATAGCTGCCAGACACAACTGCCAACAGGCTAGAACGATAAACTATTTCCATGAAATTAATCCAGAATTCCCACCTTTTTTGACTAAGAAAGTTTATTTTGAAATAAACTTGAAAGCCTGTACTGGGCATGCTCACAAAATGATTGCCTTGGGGTGTTGATCAGTTGCAAAATGGTACAGTCTGTAACACTCCACCCATGTAAAAGCACTTTGACTCCAAAGTGCTGTTGATGTGATGATAGGGTTTGGAGTGTGTTTTTTTTTACATTTAATAGAAGCCAGTGGTATGTTAGAGAAGCTGCAATCTAAATTAACTGCAATTAATCAATCTCAGAGCTAAGGGTGGTCTTGAATTTGACTTTTCCATTTTTGCTGTTTTCTGCTTCATTTCAGGCAATCCCTTCCAGTTCTGGTCTGTTGAGTATATGCTAAAATTGGGGTAAACTGGTTTTCTACACATTTCTTCCATTCAAGGGCTTGGCTCAGAAATATAAAGTCAGTATTTCCTTGAAGCTGAAAAGAAAAAAAATAAAATGAATTTTGATCAATCAGAGACATTCTTAGGATTGTATAGTGACAGATTTCAAATTATGGCAGTTCTGTTATTTTCAATTGAATAGTTAATTGATTACTTTAAAATATTTATCTGCTCTTTTTACAATAATGACAGTAAAAATGCAACATGTAAGCAATATATTAAGAGATCATCATTTTATAAAAGCAACAAGCAAGGATAATTTAAATTAAAGACTATATAAGAATATACTTGCATTGCAGGCATGAATGTACCTATGATTATTTCCCATGATAATTATCAGTCGCTTTGTCCACCTGGTTGTATGTTTTCCTTTTTGTTTTAAGATTCAAGTAAAACTAGTGACTAGCAAGTTAGTTGCCAAATGAAAGGCAGTTGCTAGTTGCTAAATGAAAGGCTGGTTGTAAAAAAAATTTAAATCTTCTTTTCTTTTCGAATCTTCAAGTCGGTTGATTCCTGCAGACTGCCTGAATTAATCTCTACCATTTATTTGCAGCATTTTGAATGAGGTTTGCCACTGCTTTCTTCCTGCAGCCAAGAAACAGTGACTGGCTCAAGATCACCCAGTTGATCTGATGCCTATGACCCACCGTCTCCCAGTTTGTAACCTAGTACTTTAATCACGTCAGTCTTATCGAATAATAAATAGCCTTCATTTGCAAGAATGGCACATAGACTTCATAGGCAATGCATTCTTGGGGAATAAACGTAATTGGCATCGGAAGCCCAGCACTTCATTAGTAATCTGTCAACCTGTCCAGAAAACAGAGATCACAGAATCAATGACTTGGAAAGGGCTTATGTCCAAGTTTTTCTGATGGTGGGGGTTGAACAGGAAGTGAGGAACCTCACTAGTTTGCCAACTAATAAATGGATATTTTGTGATTGTCACATCTTTATTATAGCTTTTTTTCCCCCAAGAGTGCTTCCTAATGTGCCTATCAGTCACAAAATATTGCTTGCCTCTGTGGTAAATCAACCGAGTAGATAAGACGGCACCTGGGGGATAGCAGCATGCCATGTCCTTAATGAAGTTAGAGGATTGTGGTTTCTTACACATAAGTCATTTCAGAGCATGGGATCATCATAGAGGAGGCTTGCTTTTATGTATCATTCTAACTTGTCATCTTGTGGGTTTTATTGGTGTGGGTCATTAGTCATGTGACTACCAGTAATTCTGTCACCCACCTTGAATTCAATCTTAAATATACATTGTGAACCAGTGTTGATAGCATAACTTTGAGTCTGAAGGATCCCATATAAAAATAATCCAGTGGTCAAGTATGGTGTTTGTATGATGGCAACATCTTATTTTTAAAAGTAGCTTATATAAAGAATAATACACACAATGCTCTAAATGATAGCAATGCTCTAAACAGAATCAATATTAAGAGTGGGTGATTATTGCCTAGGATTCTAGATGTAGAAAATGTTGAATTTTAGAGGAACAGCTAGTCCCTGCTTAATGACAGTAAATGGGAACAAAATTTCCACTGCTGACCAATGCAGTTGTAAAATGGAATGTTTGCACATCAGTTAGCAATGGCAATTCCAGCAGACCTTATTGTTGTCTTTAAACCAGGATTATAAACCATTAAGCAAGGACCTCCTCACAATTTCCTGCCACTTTCCCACAACCAAACTCAGTAGGGAAGCCAGCAGGAAGCTGCAAGTCCCAGATGGTTTGCAAGTAGGCTGGCAGGCAAGTCAATGAGCATGAGTGATTTGGGACTCAGAATTGGATGCTGCCAGGTGAGGGATAGTACACAGGTACTAGTGTACCTGTGTACCTGTACAGGCCATAGTGGCACACAAGAGTGATTTATGGCCCAGGAGTGGCTGTTTCCAAATAAGGAATCTTACCTGACAGTGGTAGTGAAAACTTCAGTCAGTTCATCTTTACTTATAAATTGTAGAGCCAGTTATGGATTAGCATGATGATTGCTTTCATTTTTAACAAAAAAAAGAAAAACCTAAGTATGTATATAACAAATAATACGGTTTACATTTTAGCATTAATCTGATCAGTTTTGTCCATATCAAAGATTAACCTTGCATGTAAAGAATATATTGAAATTATGAAATGAATGACAAATGCAACAGAAAATCGAACAGTAAATATGTACATATTTAAATATGTACATAACCCACCCCATAGACTAGTTCTGTAAGGATACGTTGACATATCAATTAGTGAACTTTTAAGGACTTCATAGGAATGAAGCCAAAAGAGAGACAAATCTAAAATCACAGTGAATAGTTTTAATTGCCCAGAAGAATAATGGGAAATTTTTCTCTATCAAAGCCAGAATTTTGGAGATTTCTCAGATTCTGTACCTTAATCTCTAATAATGCATAGGTGTAATATGCACTATTGGTTTGCTTTTACTTTTATTAGCAGCTGCACTATATCTGCAGCTGATACACCAATTATGCCCTTTCCTGGACGGGGTGACCTAGTTACATTTGTTCACATGGCTGTTTTCATATTTAATTACTCTACAGTAATGTATTCCATGTGGAATTGTTCTTGTGCTAGATCCAGAACCTGCAGTTGATACTAAATGTGACATTCAGCCATACACATTTATTATTTATTCATCAATTACATATGTCTAGTCTGCCCATTTATCCAATGAAATGCTGGGTGATAAACAGAATGAAATAACCCATTGTTTTTCTCTCATCTCTTCATGCATTCAACACTTCTCTACATAATTGTTTCTGCTTCCTCAAACCTGACTAATTACCCCAGAAATGTTACAATTTGGGGTATGGTTGGTTGGAACTTGAGTTTCACCTTGGCAATCATCCACCCATCCTTATATTTCACTTTGTGTTCTGACCCACGCCCTTTTCCAACAAATCAAACACAATCCAAAAGGAACAGAAACCTTGTAATGCTTTTGCAAAATAATTAGCTGCGATAAGCACAAGCCTTGCCAAACTGCGAGACTTGCTAAAAGATAACAGACAAAAAATAATTTGCAATGGGGGACTTCCGGTTTGTAAGGCTTCGGCGGCGGCAGGAATCCGCGATTGTGCGTGGTTTCTGCTGCGCTCGCCACTGGAGTGCCCCCGATCCAGCTGGATTTGGGGGGCTAATAGTTACCCCGTAGAGGTAACTGAAGATAGGGTAGAACCAGCAGGGGTATGGGGGAATCGCAACCCCCCCTCCTCAACTGGCTTAACTCCCTTTTCCGAAGGCAGCGGAGCAGCGGTCAGCAATGGTTGCCACAAAGAAGCCTGCATCCAGATAAGAATGTGCAGGAGGAAGCTGAA